AATAATTAAAAGGTCACAACCACATATGTATCCACACCTGAGGTGTCTGACTCCCACATGCTGACTCACACTGTCACACTTGGTGAGAACCCTTTAAATGCCTTTGAAATGTGAAAAATAATTGTTGTAACCTTGACAGTAAAAAAAAAAAAAGTGGCATTTTTGGCAGGGCCTTTTTTGTCCTCTGGCATTCCTAGTGGGCAGATTACCCTGAATCTAGATTACCACCATTAAATTTACAATACCCTGTTAGACATAGGCTTTCACTTGATTAAGCCTACAGGAGTAGGTATAAAGAAAGAGAGTGGGTGTGCACAAAGTGTTCTGCCATCAGGAGAAATCAACCACTGGCGTCTAGCAGACATTTAACAGAAAATCTGTTCCACTCATTCTTCAAGACTTTTTGTTTTGCTAAATTTTGGTCACACTTTTTTTTGATGAGCATACTTCATACAGTAACCATACATTAATTTATTTTATTGTATTTCAATCTAGAGTTGTTTGTAGTGCATACACTCAGACCATTGTTGTCCCGCCCTCTCTATCTGTTTATCAGACCACAAATGACACAAGAATTACTTAGCTTACATTAGCCACCGTCCCTTCGACTCACTCCCCACCACTCTCCACTACTTCCCCAGGAGGAGAGCAGGCAGCAGCTCTGGAGACAGAACTTTGGTTGGCAGCTGTAGTAGCTCAAATTCGGCCAGCACAACTCCCCCAGCACCGGGGTCTACTCTGGCTGGATTCATGTTGCTGCAGCCGCTGACGGGGGGTGGGGGGGTCTGGTGTCAGCCTCTGGAGCTGATGCCTGCTCTCCTCCCGGTGAGGTGGTCTGTAACGGTGGGGAGTGAGGCAGAGGACACACTGTAATTCGAGGCATAAATATGAACAAGAAGCCACAGCCCTGAGCCTTTGACTGCGGTTAGCGAAAGGCTAATCTATTAGCAACATTTTCTCTCCATCTCTGAAACGCTTTGCCGATACCAACGTGTTTTATTTAATTTACTGTCAGACTCTATTAGATTCTATTTTTGATAAGTCCGTGTTCCTTTTTTTGTTTTGCTTTGCAATGTAGGCAGTTGTTGCCAATGTTGGAATAGCAACTTTCTCTGCAGGATTCTCCGCCATTGAATGAGATAATTGGACAGGCTTATTACAGGCTAGCAACAGCCACAGACACTGGGTTTCTTTTCTTTATATTTTCAGAGCATTCCATGTATCGATTGGGATATATAAAGAGAATTTCAACAAATATAACAAAAAATGCTTCTAAAAATAAGTGGCTACCTGAACTTGAAACATTTCACTGATTGTACTTCAATAAAGCTATGAATACACGTTGAAATATAATCACTGAAATGCTGTTGCTGTTGCTCTCTTTCACATTTCGTTCAAATTTCTTGCCATTTTAATGAGCAGCCACAGCAGAACCATTCATTCATCTATTCATGTTGCATCTTATACAGGTCAAGGTAAGGAGGGTGAGTAGACTAACAGCTAATTCTTCCTTCCAAACAACTTCCTCTGCCTCTTTTTCATGTACAATCACCAGATATTGTTCACACTTCCTGGGAGATGTTTGCTGTGTCATAAATACCGTAGGTACTTTTAAGAATGTCCAGAAGTTAGAATCACATCAATTGAACCTTCCTTCACATAAATGCACATCCATCGTGAGAAACTGACAGCATGTTTTATTCATCATTCCACATGAACAAATCAGTTATCATTTTGTCAGCTATAAGGACCCTGTATTCTTCACTGTCCTCAAAAAAGTATCAGATAACTTTTCATTCTGCAAGAGCAGGTGTCACTTCTTGACTCAGCTCTATTTCGAACAGAACTCATCACTTACAGCAATGCCATCAGCTCCAAAACAGGCCCTTTTATCCTAAGAGAAACACTTACCTGCAGACTGTCAGAGGGAGCCTTTCTGATTTATTCAGTCATTCATCATGGAGTTGCTGGCTGGTCCGACTCATCAGTCTTGTTTCTGGCTCTGGTAGACATCACTCAGTGTACAGGAGTCTGAACTAGGGCATGGATCATGGGAATAAGGCAGTTTTCAGCTGGAGTGTTCACCTTAAAATCAACACAGTGGTCGGTAAAGAAAACAAACAAGGTTTTAAAAACTGTAGTTAATATTGTATTTAATGCAGTTTTATTGTCTTTGTGTCTCCCTCTCTGAAAGTGATCCATGTTTCTGCTATCAGCAGATTAGAGCCAACTGGAGATTCACTTTTTTGCTATTAGACCAAGGCGTGGACTCGAGTCATATGACTTGGACTCGTGTCAGACACGAGTCACAAATTTGATGACTTTAGAATTGACGATAAAATCAAAACGACACAAGACTGGGACTTCAGTACCAATGACTCGTGACTTTACTTGGACTTGAGCCTTGAAAATACTTGATGGCTCGATTAATATCCCTTAATTTTCTGAATCAACTGACCTTAACATTATTTATTCCCAGCAACTCCCAATCAACTTGTTTTAAATAATAAATACAAATCTTTTAAAGCATTCATGTACATATGTCCATTAATATAATGCCCTGTTACTGCAATCTAATTATATTTGGTGAGGAGCAAACAATTCCTAAACTTGCAAAGTTTAGGAATTGGGACTTGTCAGTCTTGACTTGGAACTTGAGTGTGAAGACCTGAGACATGTGTGTGACTTGCAAAACAATGGCTTGGTCCCATCCCTGCTATTGAAACCCCACAGCACAGTTGTTCAAAGGGAAACCAACCAGACTTTGGCTATGAGAGTGAGTGGAATCCTGAAAATAGGTTGTTCAAAAGAAAAAAAAAAGGATTCTGAAATACAGTCTTGGTTTTGATCTGAATCAGACTTTCAGTATGTGTTCAAATCATTTTAGTATGATTAGGGTGTCTTTAATCCAAAAAAACAGGATTATCATGATCCCAGCAGAAGGTTGGATTCAGGCTGAATTTCAGGAACAGAATAAAAACTTTGAAATTGGTAAAATGTATATATATTTCTTTATATTTAGCACTTGATTTGTTTCATTGCTACAGTGATTAAATCAATAAAGTAGACATTAGGCTACCTATTAAGCTGTTCAGTATGGAAAAGTAAAAAAATATTTTAAAAATAAAGGAATTCTCCCCAATGAAGTAATCCCCCAAATAGCTGTCAACACCAAACAAGAACTGCCAAATTTTAACTTTGATTTATCACTTCATATTGATTACAATGACACAGTTAAATGTAGTTTTTAACAGTTGCAGCCCCCATGCTGTTCTCTGTTTCTTCAAGTAAAAACACCTAGAGCAGGGGTCTGCTACCTTTACTATTAAAAGAGCCATTATTGGCCAAAAACAAAAAAAATCTGTCTGGAGCTGCAAAACATCTTTGAATAAAGGTAAGTGGCTATTAAGTCTAAATTAGCCCATTAACATTATGAATAGGTCTTAGGTGGCTACTCTGCTGTTGGCTACTTATAATTATTTAGTACTTTAACTTTGCAGTGTTGGTGGTGAAAGAAAATTAATCTCTCCACACTATTAAATCCTCCATTTTCCCCCGAGACTTTTCCTGTTTAGGATTTGGAAACCGTGGTTGGCCTTGCTAGAGAGACCCAGGCTAGCTGCCGCTACTTGCTACTGAAGTTCAGCAAAATTTAGAGGAAAAAGCACCTGGTCGTAGACGTATGATGAACATTTTAGTTGATGAAACATTAAAACATTTTTTAATTTGCTGTATAGGCAACACACTTATACACTTGCAGAGAGCAATAACGACTCTCTGCCTACAACACTGACAAATGAAAATTTCAATGGAAAAAAATAATTATTCATTTCCATGTAATTTTATGTCAAAGCCACAGGGAGCCAATGGAGAGGGTCTAAAAGGCCACATGTGGGTCTGGAGCAGCAGGTCGCCTACCCCTGACCTAAAGTGACCCCATGCTGAAAATTCTACTCATGGATGGATTAAAGACCCAGGTGCGTAAAAGTGTCAGTGACCCCAGGCCTTTACCTGAAAAATGTCACTCAAATCAACAGGTAGCGACCAGAGAGACTCAGAAAGACTGCAAAGAGACACAAAATGACTACAAAGAGACAAAAACGACCAAAAAGAGACAAAAAAAGATTCATAATGACTATGAAGAGGTGCAAAACAAACAAACAAACAAACAAATAAAAAAAAGTGGCAAAACTACCAGAGTCTGTGTGTCTTACTCCTGTGTGGAGAGGTGTGGGGCCCTTTGTGTATCTGTGCCCAGGGGCCTAATGTCCCACAATCTGCCCATGATTCTTTCTGTTGTTCTTTACATAGCAGCTTACACTGTGATATGTAGTCCCAAGCACTGGTTATCCTGGTTTGTTAGTCCTGAAAAATTTCTATCTGGATCAGTGTGATCCAATCAAATGTGGCTCTGAGAGACAGGCACAAAAGTAAGATGGATAATCTGATCCTGGACAGCTAAACATGGCACTTCCAAGACCGGATCATTCTGATCCAGATTCTTTTTTTTTTTTTTTTTTTTGGCCCTGGCTGTAAATGAAAGTTGTGTGTGAACTGGTGAGGCAAACAATCACAGACTGTGTTCCTCTATGCAGTCTATGATGAAAAATATGCCCTGCAGAAAACAGGTTATTGGAACTCTTAAATATTAAGTGGTGCTATTTGGAGAGAAGCACAGTGAGTTTCGTAAAGCTGCACAGAAATAACGAGAAAACCGGAAACTGTGCGATTTTGTTTGGGAAATAAAATTGTAAAACTAAACTGTGTGAAGATGGAAAGCAAATAAATAAAGGAAAATCCCATTAAAATGATCTTTTAGATCAAATGTGATGAGAAATGATGATTGTTGGAATACTGCTAAGACGCTGTGTTTGTGTAGTCGGCAATAAAGGAATTATTTTGAAAGTTATCACCGGAAATCATAATCTTGTTTCGTCTTACTTGACACAGGTTCACTCTATAAATTTAGAGCTGAGGGGGAGGCGGAACAGTCGTGAAAGAAATGTGTTCGGTAATAATTAGTAAACAGCGCAGGTAGTTTGTCCGGTTCACTATGACACAATTAATTTTTTAAGGCAATCAGGAGTAAAATCAGCCAATCACTGCTCTCCGGTTCGATTGCGTATTGATTTGGGTTGAAGCGTCTCCTTTGGCCACCGGTCTGCGCTCATCTATCTTACCGACGCTCGGCACATGTGTGTGTGCGGGATCTACAGTCCATGGATTGTAACTTTGAGTCGGCGGACCTGTGCAGTGAAAGGTGTTTTGTATGACTAGACGTCGCTGTGACCGGATACGACGTGGAATGACAGAAGAAATTAAGAAAATGAGATGAGAGTTTGGCGAAAAGTGCAACTCGATTGAACGCGCTGCGGCTGGACTTCATATTAATTAACAAAAACACCTTTCATCTCTTAAAGATGGGAAGCCATGTCTGCACTGCGCTCCCAAAATAAAGGAATAATTCACCAATAACACAACAGGCAACCCGGATCGATCAACGAGGCTGATTGAGGATTCCACCTCAAGTCTCTAAACTGGATCCTACTGCTCGCATCGATCAGCGGATTTGATTGATCACCTGCAGACACTCAACACCCTCAAAGGTAAGTTGGGGAAATTAGACAATAAATTACCCTCAGTGGGAAATAAACAGGCTGAGGTCATGATTACAGCCTGTTGATGTCCGCATTAAGTCACACAGGTGCTCCCCTCAGGGCCCACATCTGTTGTTCGGATCGGTCATGACCTGCGGATGTCACCTCACAAGAGTCAGTGTTATTGTCTGCTGCTGTTTGCATTGTTTTAAATATAGCAGACGGTGTGTGAGGAAGTAAGTCAGAATAATATTTTACTTTCACTTGCTGTGTAATGAGATTCGCACTGCAGCAGCAACATCGACTGATCCGTGTTTCTTAAAGTTTTAAATTAATTATTGACCGCTGACCTGCTTAAGATAAATCGTCCTAAAATTCCTTCATTTCCAGCACGACATGCTGCTTTCAGAGACAGATACAAGCTTCATCACTCACTCATAAGACAACATCTGAGCAGAATGTCATTTAATCAGAACACGACACTGGCAGTGATGATGGAGTTTGTTGCATGAATGTCAATTCTGTCACACTGATGACGAGCAGCTCACAGAAAGTGTGTGCGCGCATGCTGGGGGTCGGTGTGATGTAGGCTACCGTAGCCAACAGAGTTCTCACTGTGGACCCCCCGCCGGGACGCCGCCACTCCCCTCCCCTCCCATCCATCCATCCGCCCACCCACCCACCATCACCATCACCATCACCATCCTTCCTGTCCAACGCGCGCCCTTGCTCCACACGGTGGCGCACGCTGTTACGCACGGCGCGCCCTCCCGGAGATGTGTGGCTCTCTGTGTGATGCGCCTTCAGTCTCCCCGTGTTGACCTGCAGTGTGAGCTTAATCCACTGGGACATAAAGGCTGTGTCACCAGCTACCTCTCTTCTTTGTTCACCTTATCTGTCATCCTGTCTTCCTACTTTCTCCCTGTCTTTTTCTTTCATGTGGGCTCCTGCTGGTCTGTCATTCTGTATTTGTCTGTCTGTCTGTCTACACCCTGCTTCTCTGTCTGTCTCAGATTCTCTGCCTCTTTCTCTTTTTGCCTCTGTCTCTCTTCCTCTCTCTCTCTCGCCTCTCCCTGTGTATTTTGTGAGCACAGCCGCAGGCAGGCAGGCGGGCAGGGCTGAGTCTGTCATTGGGACTCACTAATGAGCCCTCCACTCTGTCTCCCCATGTGGAGGAATGTTTGCACTGGAGAGTGAGTGAGAGAGCAAAGGGGGAGAGAGGGAGTCACAGGGAGGGAGGGAGGGAGGGAGGGTGGGAGTGAGTGAGTGAGTGAGTGAGGAGCCAAGGAGTGGAGCATGAGAGGAGCTGTTGTACCTGCTGCTCTCACTGCTCAAATATTAACAACGGGTTTCTGGGAACCGATGCCGCTGCTCTGGGACAAGCCCAAACTGTGGAGGCAGCCGGGCTCAGTGGTTTGTGGACAGGCAGTCTGTCGCTGCTGCTGGAGGCACCGCTGCATCTAAGAGTCTGATGGAGGAGGAGGTCACAGAGCCCGATCCTCAGACGGTGGAGCCCACCGGCATGCTGCCACCGCCGGGGACACACTCAGAGGTAAATGGAGACTTGCCGGGCAACCCATACCTGAGGGATGGGACAGTGGACGTGATGGAGAGTCCGGCGAGGGAGCCTGTTGTGCTGCAGTATCCTGCTGAGTACAGCCACCAGTATGGGTAAGAATCAGCATGGGAGAAACAGAGAGAAAGAGTCTGTTGCTGCAGGCAGCAGCTGGTAATGTGTGCAGAGAGGTGGCACTTCTGTGGGACGCTCTCGTCTCTTTTCTCAGTTTAGAGAGCATTTGACTCCTGATTTGCAGTGATGGTTTGACGAATTGCCTCAACACCCAGTTGGCTGCGTTTTCAAGCACCCTGTGTGCCTGTGCTGCACAGTCCATAGCACTGGAAAGTCATTTAACCATAGATTGCTCCTACAGAAGGTTCAGGCATGTCTTAATGGTCCATAGTATTATATTTCACCTTATTATTTACATTACAGGGACAGACGTTGGGACACATTTGCGTGGTTGGGTGGTCAGAAGCAGTTGGTGATTAATCCATCTTCATCATGACTTGCTGGATGGAACTGCTCTGTTTTTACATTAATGATTGTTAGCATCTCATTTGTATGTTTGCTGTGGCAGAGTATTGTCAAAGGCTTGCTGTGTTTACACACACAGATCCATATGAGTGGACAGAGTCATCTGATGACACAGGGCTGCCTGACAACATGGAAGCGCTACAGAAGGAGTCTCAATAAAATCAAAGTGTGACCAGAAAACCTCACCTCTGACTTGATTTAAAGTTTATAGATTCTACGAAACAATAATCCACAGTGCTGTCAGTTTCTGAACTGGTCAGTTTTTATGACCAGTTGGCTGTTTGTACGTTGTACCTTAGCAGTGATGGAAAACTGGAGAAAAAAAACTCACTGAAAATCTTCTCTCTCTGGGTGGAAACTTTTATTTTATATGGCCACACCCCAATCTGTGATGTCACAGCAGGTATTTGCTTTTGCTCTCACGTCTCTGATGGTGGTGTGATCAAAAAATAAATCTGAACGGGCAGTGCAGAAGGCTTTAACAGCCCTGTGTGATTGAGTGTGGATTTACCTTGATAGCAAAGCTCACTTCTTTTGGTTTTATAGTTCAGCACTTTTTCCTTGTGATTGGAAGGAATGCCCATTCGTCAGTGTGCCTTGAAAGGAGAATTACATCCTGCTTATAACTTGGTGTTTATGAACTCCACCTTTTCTCAATATGTATTTCTAGTGAGGGTGTAGGTTTTGTTTCAAGCCTGGGGGGCACATATGAAACAGGGTTGGGGGGGTCCTCTGCCAGGAAATTTTGTGCATCAAACACTTCATTTCCTGCATTCTGCATTTGTTTATGCACCAATCTGTGCATTTTCTGGATCAGTTCACAATGTAAATATCTTTAATTAGAAATAAAACTCCTCTGCTACTTTTCATCATTGGGACAAATGCACATGTTCTAAATATTGAGGGAGATGTGTCCCCTGCGTCCCCCTGAAATCTACGCCTATGATTTTTTGACCACCTCCTAATGATGTCACTATGTCATGGTCCTTTTTATGAAGTTGATTTTGTGGCCAGAGTGTCTGCTCCCAGTACACAGTGTTCTGCTTGTGTCCCCCTCAGTATTGGCCCGTTGCTATTGGCTGTTGTGCTGCAGGGTTTGATGTGAGAAATCGCCATCTGGCTTCCTTGTCATGCAGAAAGCTTTGACTAAAGCTGTGCTCTTTCATCAGGTTGCACACTCTTCAAGAGTCAAGACTCAGAACTGAGGGCTGGTTTGGTACTCTGGTGTGGTCGTGGGCTGATTAGTCATTTCTTATAGAAAGAGAGAGAGGTTTGGCACTTGCAGGACTGACTGACATGCAGATATATTAAAAGGTTTCAATACAGCAAAGATCAGTCTCTACAAGTAGTCTGTTTACTGTCAGACTGCACACTGTCTGCTTGGACAAAAAACATCTAATGATTACTGCGATGTGTTCAAAGACACAAGATTAAATTATCTTTAAAGGTATACTGTGCAGCATTTTCCTAAAAACATAAAATATAGACTTGTACAGAGGTAATCCCTCTCAGTCATCACTTATGACCCACTCTCAGTGTGTGGTGGTGTATTTTTCTGCAGAGGCTCTGCCCTCTGTCTGGAGTTTCTTATTCCTTTCTTATTTTCTGTGTTTGGGATGTTTATAGGCGTGTACCTCCACAGCTTTCAGATGAGGTCGGGGCTTTTTTGAAAAGGTAGCGACCAGGTGCCAGACCATAAGTAGCAGGCATTCAACACCGTTGCGAGGTGAAACCCCGAAATGAGAGTAAATCTGAGGTTGGCTTTTACTTTGACTGTCACTTACAAGCATGTTTACAAAGAGTGACTTACAATCCTGCATAGTATACCTTTAAGAATGAATTTCATTAATATTTTCAAACAGCCTGTTTGCCTCATCACATGGAAATGAGTGCTGGTCTCTACGAGATCTTGTTTTTTTCTTGACCATTTACAGGTACTTTTGATGTGAACATCACCTTATAAGGAAGTGTACCATATTTTGAACTGTGGTGCTATTTACTGTTTCTAGGTTCTTAATTGTGAGGATAAATCTGTTTTTTTTCCAGTTTTGTATAATTACAAATGTAATTGTTTTTGGATTCAAAGGTATACAGGATTGTCGGTAACTGTTTGTGCTCGCCACTGAAAGTGAAAGTACAAACCAACCCCAGATTTACTCTCGTCTGGCATTTCGCCTCACTATATTTGCGTTTTTTTTCAGTGTTGTGTCTCTTGGGTGCCTGCTGCTTCCAGTCTGGCACCTGGTCGCTACCTTTTTATAAAGCCCCGGCCTCACCTGAGCACTGACCAATAAATGTCCCAAAGACAAAAAATTAAAAGCAAAAGAGAAACTCCAGACAGAGGGCAGAGTCTCTGCAGGAAAATACACCGCCATGCACTTAGAGTGGGTGATTGAGAGGGACCACTTCTGTATGAGTCTATACATTGTTTTTTTTAAAGATAATCCTGCACAATATATCTTTTAATGAGGGGCTTTTGACTTTTTATATTTTTACAGTTTAACAAAATAAATGATTCATTTAAGGAACAAAAAGAGACAGATTATTTTAAAACTGATGGCTTTCTCTTTCTCAGTGTCCTGATCTCCATGTTGTATGTTAGAATTTGACACTAATCTATGATGTCCAGCTGCCGGACACAAAGAGGAGTGAGTTCATCATGTCTTCCCGCCGGTTCTTTGAGGACATGCAGCATTTTAATGGCAGCATAATTGCGGCTTATTGCTTCTTCCTCCAGGGTCAAAGCGTTTTGATTAGTCATGTCATCTTTGTCTTATCCTTGAGGTGTCAGCACAAGTAGTGCTTTCCCCATATGCCATGCACACAACTTTAGTGGAGTTGGTTTTATTTATGGGTCTGCTGTAATTGGGTTCAGTTCTGCTGTGACCCAGCCTTAACAACACTGGAAAGACCT